AATACCTTTCAAGGGCCTTAATTTTGTTTGATTTCATTTACTACCACGCGGACACCCTGTATGTATATGACACCTGTAATATGTTGAATACATAATAAAGGAAAATGACCCAGGCCCAGCAGGACACTGTAGAGATAGCTGGTAACTGTGATGACAACTCATCTGATGAAGCCACACTGTAAGAACTACAGAAAAGGTTCAGGAAGAGATAAGGATCTACAGAGGTCTACCATCTGTACTATCCTCAGTGAATTCAGTGACTTGGTGGTGGTACATGAAGGACACTCGGCCAGTGCTTTCAGACTTGGTATCTCTTTGTGCAAGTATCATCCACACCCCATACATTTTCTACTGCTGGGGATATCAGGTCTGTTGATTTTTCTGAAGAGAAAAACTGAGTGAATGTGTCATGTAAGCAGCAGTGAAAATTGGAGTTGCAGTTTTTGCACTGAAAAATACACAATTACATCTATTGTAACTTTTAGACAATGTTTATTTATGTTAACAGATGTTCATCTTGGGGTTTGTTTTTATGCCGAGTGGAAAAAGTTCAGGTTGAAACATTTTTTGTTTAACCACAATGTGGTAAATAGGTTAATTTTTTATTGAACTGCTTTGAATGCCCTATTGACCAGAAAAATAAAACAATTGTGTTTCGATGATTAACATATTTTTGTTGTTGTTGAAATTGATTTAGGAACATATTGGTATTGAAAAAAGTATTGTTCAGGAACCAGTATCAAAATCAAGGTCTTGTTCTGGTACTGGTATTGAAAAATTCCCAGCCCTAGAAATGGTCCAATCAAAGTGCAAACCTCAACCCAATTAAAATGCTGTAGCAGGTTCTTCAGAGAACTGTGCATAAATCTCAATGAACTAAAGCAACACTTTAAAAAAGAGTGGTCCAAAATTCCTCCACAACCATGCAAAACTGATAAAATCATACAGAAAATGATTATTTCAAGTTATTGCTGCTAAAGGTGGTTGTCCAAGATATTGAATCATGGGGTGTACTTAGTTTTTCACACATGGCTTCTCAATTTTGCCTTCATTTTTGTTAAATAAATAATGACATGGTAGAATATGTTGTTTCACACCTCCAGTTAGATTTAAATAATTTTAGAACCTGGTAAGGACCAGATGATTTTTTACTATGTGCTCATATGTAAAACCACAAAACTGAAAGAGAATGTACTTTTTCCACATGATTGTATACTAGGGCTGGCACTTCTTAACCGATCTTTAAGCAATATACCAACAGTCATTCAAAAATGTGAAAACTATAATTAACCCATTCGAATTTTAAAATGTCACTGTAGCCAAAGGCACATTAGACTGTTGTAATTTTGTTGTTTGCTGTCTACAGAGCCCCTGAAAGGTCAGGGAGGAAAGATTTTTTTCAAAGTCCTGTAAACTATGGGGGACAATGTTTACCATGTAACTTTAATATTAGGTGTTTTTATACATATTTATTAATCACTGCACTGTGTCTATTCTCCACTAGGGATTTTAAGCAAGGCAGCTCGACTACTTAACGTGAAGTGCACACACGCATACACTGAAATATATTAAAAACAATGAAATGTTAAATGTTACAGCTGGAAAACTGCACATGAAGCAAAACTATCGCTGTTTTGGAGTTAAGGTTTAAAATCGAATCTGCTTTCTGGAATATTTCAGTGTAGAGCCACATATCTTCACATACATCATCTAGCGAGAATACCAGGGAGGTATATCCAAAAGTGGCTCTGTTGTAATATCTTTCAACAAAAACAAGCAACAGCTCTTGGTTTTCCAGATTTCTTTACAGGCAATTTTTTTATTAATGTTTGTAATATATTTCAAAGTTTGTGTATAGACTTCACATTCAATAGCTCAAAAGTTCAAAAGTTTTGCAAGGGACTGCAAATTATTTAAAAAATATATTTTTGACCCTGAACTTTTAGGGACTCCATAGTAATTTATTTAATAATACTGTATTGTATACGGGATGTTAATAAAATACTGGACAGATTGATTCTGTGTTGCATTTTTTTTTTTAGTGGGGGGGTCACAGATATTCAAATGTATTCCAACAAATTACGTGACATTTGAAATTCGTTCGAACCCGATTTCCTAATTTTTGAAAAAAGTGAGAGCCCTACTATATACTACCACAAATTACAAATACTCCACGTCAAAAGAAAATGCCCCATTTCATAACACTATATTCCAAGCTTAAGTTTATACATTTTTATGACCAACTATTATGAAAGACCTCTAAAGATCATGTCCATCTAGATTTCTAGAAATCTTACTTGATTTGTGTGGAGGTCTGTGGATCCATTGCTCTTTCGGGCATAGTTACTCCGCAGGTTACCCAGGAACCACCATGGCAGCCCTGTCAGATCCCATTCATCCAGACTAACATCCAGCTTTGGCCGCTTGCAAGCAGACCTAGGGACACCATCAAGAGACTCTGAAAGGAAAAAATAAATTAGCATTAAATGAGTGACATCCATAAGCAGGAAGCAGAGGGACTTTAAAAGTCGTTAATTTCGTAATTTCATGAATGCTTCTGTATTATTCATAGAAAGACGACAAAATTCTGAATTTACTGAAAAAACAAACATTAACCCTCTCAAGGCAGGCGTTGCTGATTTGCAACAGTTACAAACTAACTACCTTATTACCCCACATACATATTTTATGAGTTTTTTTTACTCAGAAGTACCACAGGACTTGGTTGTCCTGTCCTGTTACTAAAACTTAATTTGAGCCTGAAAGGGTTAATACTGCAAAAGAATGTGAAGTCCATTTCACCCTGCCTTCACCATGCCAATGATTTTGATAAGTGCCATAGGCGGTTATGGATTAAGAGCATCAGAATTCAGGAATATCCCTATCACAGTATATTAGGGGTGTAATGGTACAAGAATTGATTGTGTGCCATTTGGTTACATCATTTTTGTTTCGGACAGCACAATAAAATTTATTTTATTACGTTATTTCTTGACACCTAAACTCTGAAGTTGGTTATGGTTATTGCTAGTAAATCAAATATATTGGTGAAGCAAGAACTTGAAGACCCTCCCACATCTCTTAAATCAGTAGCTTGGGAACATTTTTGCTTCTCAATAAATTGCACCAACACTGGCGACAGTAGTTATTATAACTGATAATAACAGTCATACAGAAACCAGGTTGTACCCGACCCATACCATGAGGAGACACTAGTTGGTGTATCTGACAAAGAAGGAGAATGATGGAGTGCTGCGTCAGATGACCTGGCCTCCACAATCACCCAACCAAAACCCAACTGATATGGTTTGGGATGAGTTGGACCGCAGAGTAAAGGAAAAGCAGCCAACAAGTGCTCAGCACCAATGGGAACTCCTTCCATTCCCATTCTCGGTCAATACCTCATGAATATGATTGAGAGAATGCCAAGAGTGTGCAAGACTGTCATCAACACAAAAAATTCTTTGAAGAAATATAAAACAAATTATGGTTTAACACTTATTTACTGCATAATTCGACATGTTTCTTCATTGTTTTGAAGTCTTCAATATTAATCTACTATGTAGAAAACAATATAAAGAAAAACCATGGAATGAGAAGGTGTCCAAACTTTTGACTGGAAGTGTACATCATGATTTACTATGTGCTAATTTCTGCTAGCACATCTGTGAGAATCACTGCATTATGTTAGCATCAAATGCTAGCAAAATTAGCAGTAGTTTACATAAATTTGTATTACAAATCCATTCCTTAGTAGTAGGTTGAAGGTTTTCAAGTTTCCAGTTATCGGGAATGCATCCAAATACAGTCAAATACAGTGGAAACTGCTTACAGAAATATCACTATAAGCAGATGATCATTATAACTGATTTTCTTCCTCCCGTCTTAGACAGATTACCATGTAATAGACATTTGTACATTTATGACATGAATATAAAGTAATAAAACAGACCGCTTCACTATTCACTCAATGTTATTCAGTACAGTGGTGTCTGCGGTTCACAAACGCTGTGGTCTACAAACAATTTGGTTCGCGACCAAAAATTTTGTGAAAAAAATGCATTGGTTTGCATACAAAATTTGATTGACGAACAGATTCCTCGACCAGATTCCTTTATACTAGTGTAGCACCGGCGGGGTGTATGTCCCAGCATGCACCACATGCAATTATAAATAGAAGGTCCACAACAGGCACCCAACAAGCACCAAACCTAAATACACAAACGAGAAGCACAAGGTTGTAAGATGCTGAACTGCAAGATGCACACACGCTAAATACATGCGAGGATTGGATCAGGTACACACAAGACACAGGCAAACACACACGCAACAATAGGGAAACGCAACCATTAACAACAAAACAATACAAGGATTAAAGACTGTTAATAAAGAGTGTGATTTCCCCACCATGCAAATCACCATGTCTCGCTCTGCTCCCGCACTGCCCCAATCCGCCCGTCGCCACACTATATTGTGTTTTTCTGTAGTTTTTACTATAAAAACCAGAATATTAACAAAAAATATTATTTGGTAGGCTTGTGAACAAATTAATCGAATTTCAATGCTTTCTTGCGGGAAAAATTGCCTTGGTTCGCATACAAATTGGTTCACAACCACTTTCCTGGAACGGATTGTGTCCGTGAACCGCAGGCACCACTGTATTTCAAAATATAGTACAGCTGTTTCAAATGCTTTTCAAATTACTGTACTGTAACAAATTACTGAACTGTGACTGAAAATGCTAATTATAGCTTTGCTGGGGTATCGCGGCTTGTTTTTTGCGGTTTGATGAGCATTAGCCTCAAGTAGCTAGCCAGAAGCAGATAGATTAACGCAAGGCAAAGTAGGGTGATCAAAGTTTTAAAAAAAAATAAAAAAAATCTGCAGTTTTACTATTTCCCCATGTGTTGTCATGTTTAAAAAGACCCAAAATGAACACTGTAAGCAGACTACTTGATTACAATAAGTGAATTATTTAATTTGGACTAGTGCTGCATGATTAAACTAATCGCAATCGCGATGTCAGCTGGAGCGATTGTATAACCGCAAATGGCTGCAATTTAAATAAAAAATGTGCGTGTGTAAATGTGATAACCTATTCTCTGTTTACATGCCATCTGCTCATTATCTACGCCCATAATAAAGAGATGACCAAGAGATGTTTAGGTGGTAAAGCATGCACAGTATATGGTCACATGATTACTTGGTGTGCACAGCAGATGGAAATGGATGCTAACGAGCAGGCCGAACTGGTGACCAAAAAAAACGCAACCTCTTATTTGGCGATATTTTGGATTCAAGTTCAGTGATACTGAGCAGAAAGAGGTATTGTGTAAAACATGCTAAATGAAAGTCGCTACATCACGCGGCAACACAACAAATTTGTATCAGCACCTTAAACAGCACAGAGAAAAGTATATTGAATGCATGATCGCAAAAGCCCTGACTAGTAAAGACAGCTGAAAGTAGGGCTGTGCAATTAATCGATTTTCGATTTCGGGTCTCAACGATCACAAAAATGGTGTAATCGAAAAAAACGATTATTCACTTTTTTTTTAAGTTATTTTGACCTGCGTTCTGACGCGCGCGCGCATCCACACTTTCGCCCTTCCAGAAGCCCGAACTCTCTCACTCTATACTGTCAGCGAAGAAGTTGCGTATGTGGTATCTGATCGCATTTAAAAATTAGCGCGAGTGAAGATGGCAGAAAAAGAGCAGCCACAGAAGTCTTTGGTCAACAAAAGAGGTAGAAGCAATTCTGTTGTTTGGGAACAGTTTGGATTCGAAGAAGCGGACGTGGATCAAAAACATATTAGGTGCAAGATTTGCTACGCGGTTGTGTCGGCACCGGTTGGTAACACCACAAATCTTTTTAACCATTTAAAATTTAAACACAGACCGACATATGACCAACTAATAAAGAAACAGAAAGAACGACGAACAACCCCTACAACATCCTCCGCAACACAGTCATCCATTAAAGACACGCTCTTCAGTGCAACTCCGTATCCATCCAGCTCAGAAAGGCACAAAAAAATAACAGATGCCGTTGCATACTTTTTAGCCAAAGACATGTGCCCTATTAGCACGGTTGAGAACGAAGGATTCAGGAAAATGATAAATACTCTGGACAAGCGTTATGCTTTGCCATCTCGACACCATTTCACGAGAGTTGCTCTGCCTGCTTTATTTGAAAAATGCCGTTCAGAAGTGGCTAATGAAGTATTAAAAGCAGAGTACTTCGCCACCACAACAGACCTTTGGTCTAGCCGCACATTGGAGCCATATATAAGCTTAACAATACACTTTATCGATGCCGATTTCAATTTGAATACGAAATGTCTCCAAACTGCGTTCATTCCTGAAGACCATACCGGGCAAAACATAGCCCATGGACTCAGGGAAGCTATGGCTGCATGGGGTTTAAACGAGGAAAAGCTCACCTGCATCACAACAGACAACGCTGCAAACATAAAGCTGGCAGCTGAGCTAAATGGATGGATGAGGCTTCAGTGTTTCGGGCACAGACTCCACTTGGCCATAGGTGAGTAGGAATCCTTCATACAGATTATATGCAATGTGGTGATTTAATTGTATGTAATTAAGTGATTTTAACAACAGTAACAACAATACTAGGAATAATATGGCAAAAAAAAATAAAAAATTCTGTGTCACTGTCTCTCACTAGCATTTTACCATTATTATTATAATTATTATTATTACCACTTGAACTACTCTTTGATGCTTTCTTAATCTGTCTTAATATATGTTGCTTTGATGAGGGTTGCAACTGTCATATAGTTGATACTAAATAGTATTTTTTTGTAATTTTAGAGAATGCAATGAAGGATCCTAGGATCGATCGTGCAATGGGGGTCTGCAAGAAGCTTGTCAGCAGCTTTTCCTATAGTTGGAAAAAAAAGAGGGATCTTGCAGAGGCACAGAAGCAGCTGAAGCTACCTGAACACTCCCTTAAAACAGAATGCCCAACCAGATGGGGATCTAGGCAGGCCATGATAGACAGAGTTCTTGAGCAGCATAAGGCCATTGCCCAGGTCCTTTCTAGCGACCGAAAACTCAGACATCTCACCCTCTCTTGGCAGGATATTGACGTACTGGATGCCATCAATAAGTCTCTTAGCCCCCTTGTTGAATTCACTGACGCACTTTCTGGAGAGAAATACATAAGTGTGTCTTTTCTGAAACCAACCCTCCATCTCTTCAGAAATTCAATATTGGAAGTGCAGGAGGATGACACAGACCTTGTCAAAAGCATCAAACAGAAGATAGTAGACTACCTCAATGACAAATACAGTGACCCAGAGACACAAGAGTTACTCGACATGGCCTCTGCCCTGGACCCAAGGTTCAAGCTTAAATATGTTAATAAAGACAACCAGGGGTCTATTGAAGACAGACTGACAGCAGAGATGCAGAGTGTGATGACTGCCATGGTAG